CTCAGACTCTGGAAACACCAGCAACACACCTGTATAATAACTGCAGGAATCACAGACCAGTAGGTCTCGTGTCTGTCACATGGCGGGTCACGGAAAGGATCATCAGAACCAGTCACCTGTATGTCAACGGGATTCCATGAGACAGTCGACATGGATTTAGAAAAGATGGGTTTTGATTAACGAACTTGGGACACAAACAGGGGATGCGATAAGTTTATTTAGATTTTCAGACAGCTTAGTTCTCGTCCCTTCATGAAAGATCGATACTTCAGTTTTAGGCAGTATGCATTCAAGGTGAAGATGTGAATGTGCATCGAGCACTCGTTAACACACAACAGCACAGAGTACAGATAAGGGGAGGATGCTCAGTTTGGGGCAATGTAATTAATGGGCTGCTCATCAGACGTGGATAAAGTGGGTCCCCTTCTGTATGCGAATATTTTAAATCCCTCAGGACGAAAAGGACAAACCAAATTGTCAACCGAGTCCGATATTATTTAGGAAACCCCATCACGTCTGAACTCGTTTATTGTCGTGAACTGACACGAAGATGATGGCTCTTATCCTCTTCAATCTTATGTGCTGCTTTTCACTACCAAATCTCGCTAAACGTTGCATCTTTCTTTACAATAAACTGCCGTGCAGCCTGGCTGAACTCTCATTAAGAGCTCTGGATGTGTTTTCGAATACTTCTGAATTATTTTCCAACGAACAAGCCTCCAGAATCGGCAGGGGTCTCGGAACACGTCGCTAAGTGTTTGATAGCGCTGCGAGGAGCTGCGACAAGCAGATTTCGTCTATACACAGTTCTCACCGGGAAACCAAAGCACATTTTATCACGCGTATGCATTCGGGACCCACAAATACAGCTATAGCAAAGATCTCGCTAACTCTTCATGGTTTAACTTCAAACGTTTAAATACAGTTTTGGCACCAAAACCAGCATTGCAATTTCTTTGTCGTCTACGCTTATTTTAGATCTGTACCCTGTATGTGTGATCGTTTTTACTATGTGGTTTGTCATGAGTACAACTGCTGCTTGTAAAAGACGAGCAAAGAAAACACCACATACCTCAGTCTTCTAACGTGAGACTCACATGTACCAACAGGAAGTGATGGGTGCAACCCCAAATTAGTTCCGCCATCGCATCGGACGGTGCGCTCTTGAGTCTCGAAATATAAAGGTTCCGATGTCATCACTACAAATAAAAAAACAAGACAAAAATACCGGAGCGGAAATTATCTTCGACTCGAATATTTCATTACACGCCACTTACAATCATATACCATGCAAAAATCAAAATGTCCTCTACGTGGGACACTCGTGAAATTTGTATTTCGACAGACTTGCTGTTCACGATGCGTTGAAATCGGCCGGTTTTTATTTAGCGAGCAAACACGAAGCATTGTCACTGTGTACTGCGAATTAAAAACCAACCACCAGGTGTAAAAAGAAAAGAACTGTGTCGTTTTTTCGTAAAAAAAAATTTAATGCTGATAGAAATAACTAACGTCTCCACGCTCAAAACAGTTAAGACAGCTGCGGCGGCTTCAGTTCCACCTCGGGCTTGGGCAGAAATGAAGAGAAAATACACTGAGTTTTGAGATTAAAACAGCGGTCCTTAAATCGCTTGTAAGTAAAGGTTTAAAGCCAGAAACGGGGCCGCTGCTCTCAGCCCGCTCCTCGTTAGTATAGTGGTGAGTATCCCCGCCTGTCACGCGGGAGACCGGGGTTCGATTCCCCGACGGGGAGGTGCAAAATTTTTCTCAAATTCATTTTTTCCCTCAAACGTCTTCCTAGTGTTGGCGACATCTTATTAATTGCAAATAATAACAATAATTATTATTGTTATTAAATATTTGACACTTATTAATAATATATTGACTCCTAATTATTATAATCGTTATGATTGTCGAGTGACTAGGAAGTGTCTCTAAGAGTTGAGATAAAGTTTTCAACACCTGGCAGAGTAAACACTTCCAGCTCAAAGCAGAGGTAAGGTGTGTGTGGGGGGGGGTCCCCGAGCACAAACTATGGTAAAGTTGACCTTGGTGTTACCTAGGTAATTAAGTTGTGGGTTAATGAGTGACCATGAGCAAACACACCATGTAAGATCACATTAAGAGCACAGAAGGGGAGATCAAGAAGAGGGAGAGGAGTCTGGAGGAGTGGGGACTTGAAGCTTGCGCCAGGCGTGAGCCCCTACTTCATGATCATCCAAACCAAACCTGACTGGACCTAAGGACCTAACCCCGTTAGAGAGAGCTGCTATTCTGGGTTTTTATGGAACTTGGGTTTCCTGGTTAAAAGCTACCTCAGTTAGAAAAGTCCTTCCTGCTTGTGGGTGCATTTTTAAAATAGGGAGATAGGCTCCCATTTATTTTGTGGCAGGTCTGCAGAGAGAGAGATTCAATGATAGGTTGTATTGCATTTGTTAAGAGGGCAGCGTTTCTCTTATTGTGGACATTTGTTCTCCCACTACTTTACCTTTGCCTACTGCCCTGTCTCTCTCACACCTGAAGAAGGCTCCTCCAGGCCGAAACGTTGTGTTCTCTTTCTTCTTTTTTTCAGCATGGAATAAACCTATTAATTATTTAAGTCTTCCATACTCGGTCGCAGTCTGGGGTTTTCCGGCTGATGAGAATGTTAGGCCTCCGAAGCGCCTTGTTTGTACGTTATGTACAGTAAATTTAGTAACTTGTGTGTTGTATGTTTTGCTGTGTTTATTGTCATTGTTAATAATATTTGTTAAACCAAGCGTGCCTGGATTATTACTCTCTTCGCTAAAGCTGGGCCAGAGAATAAAGTCTTCACATGCCTTCAGTCTAATTATACAAACCGCTTGGCAATATTCTGCAGAAATTACTCCCTTACAAGCTGGGGGCTATGAATAATTATTTTACTTATGGACTAAACTGCTCGGTCAATTCCTGATGAATTCTTCTTATTATTATTTTGATTATTTTCCATCCCACAGCGTTGCACATAGAGGAGGGGTCCCACAGCCCTGCCCCACCTGGGGGACCCCGAGCTGCCCTGCTGCACCAGGGGGATAATCCTGGATGCTGGCGCAGTACGCCAGGTGTTGTTATCATGTGGGCAGCTTTTAACCCCAGAATTAGATTCCAAACGAGGCTACAGCACCTAATGAACACGCTGTAAACATATCAACGCCTAAACCAAGAAAAAACGAATTGAAAACCGGGACTTGGTAACATGGTGTCCCAAGTGTACGCCAAATGACAAAAAAAGTATGTTTGTTCAATGACTTAATTTATGCCCTTTCCATCATGAACATGGATACATTAATAGATAGTAGATAAAAAATGCATTTTAGTGTATGATAAAAATGCGGTTTGAGTACAATTGATCCCGCTCGTCTCTTCAGGTCTGATTAACAAATGTGGGTTACACGCACATAGGAAACTGCCTTAGTACAGTTCCACGGGTTTCCAGATCCCAACAAATGAACCTCCATAGAAATTATAGGGATCATTTGGGATGGAAAGTGCTATATAAATGTGAGGCATCATTGTTCTATCAGGAATTATCATTGTAATGGATGGTGGTGTGATGAGTTTATTTTTTAAATGTGCAGTTGGTCCCTGTTTCTTTGAGCTGTTCAAGGAGATGAGTGGAGGAAATCAAGACCAAAAAACACAGGGATCAATGTGATTTATTGAGGAAAGGGCAGGCACATATAAAACAACTGAAGGTTACGACTTGTATTGAACAAGTCGGAGTAGCTGTTGACAAGCTGGTGAAGCCACACGAGCCTCCTTCCTGCTGTAACCACAAGAGGGGGCAAGACTCGGAATTCCAGGCGTTGTGCTTCTCCCACATTTCCCAGTGAGATCTTCACAGTGCCCACACACTGGATCCTGGCACCCGGATGGAGCAGAGCCTGTCGTAGCCCTGGTCAGGTTTCTAAAGTCCTGTAACATCATTCTGGTTGCTGCAAGGTGCTGCAGTTAACTGCTGATATTTCATTTAACTCCCAACCAGGGGATTGTAGAAGCACAGCGATCAGGCTCAGCCCTGTGGAGCTATCCAGAGATCCGGGGGACTTCATTCCTCGTGTCGAAAGCATCAGACCAACCACTTTTAAGCCGCTGCACAGTTATTGTAGGTTTTCTTTGCATGAGTGTTACAACCCCAAGTGTCTAGGGGTAAAGGGGTGTAACATTTAGGATAGTTTTTGGAAGCAGGTGGGTTCTGGTGAGGACTAGGAAGTGTGATAACAAGGGTCAGTGCAAGAGTGATGATTTTAAGTTGAATAAGTGACTGGTTTGTAATTGGACACAATAACACAGGGTAAGGGAACTAGAATGGTGCCAAAGAAAAGAAATAAACAAAATGGAGCTGGCGAAGAAAGTGAGGGAAAGCTGACCACACTACAAAAGAAAACCCAAAACACACGGTCTTCGGCGTCTTCAACACCCTAGCTAGCCTCCACTGACTACCCAAAACCATACAAGACAAACGGCACTCACCCGTACTAAACTAGTGTGACTCATACAAGAATCAACTACGTGTGTGCAAAATGTACCCAAAAACCCTGAACTAACTCTATACACAAAATCACACAAATACACATGTGAACTACGAACACAAACGAGAGTAGACAAGTAACAGGGTACAAAAGAACAGAGGCTGATACAATAAGGTTGGGCAAGGTGCCGAGCAGGACCAAAGTCAAACAAAAGGCCTCTTCCTTCTGAGAACCTCCATGTTTTATACTGAATAAGATGAGCTGTGATTGGTCGAGAAGCTAATTGAAGATGATGTCATACGGAAACTGGTGTAATGATGGACCAATGGGGGAGGAAGAACAGTCAAAGTCAGCAGTGTGGAACATAACAACAGACACACATAGACCACACCCTGGGACGTAACAATGAGTCATGGCTTTAGCATGTTGTTTACCACAAAATCACCTGGAAGATCACCCCGAATGCCGACCTGATCACACGGGGGACGTTTCCTCCCCAGTCCCACTTTAATTGATGTCATTGAGCCACTTCTTGTCTCAGTGCGTCAGGGGCAAATACAGTGTCTCCGCCTCACACTGAAGACAGCTATAGCGCGCGGAAGAGTGGGCACTCTCCTGGACTCGGGATCGAGAGTGTTGCTGAATGGCCTCGCTCCCACCTGTAGCGCACAGGCGTGTTTCACTTCAACCGTTTTCAAAACCGACCTGCAGCACAAGAGGCGTGATCACCACAGAGGAAGAGCAGCTTCCTCTCGGGCGAACATGTCTGTACGAACTCTAGCACAGCAACATACACCTTCACTCTGGGTTCTGAAGGTAATACTGTAACATTGTCTCTGTGCTTTAAACCTGATGAGATTGATAATGTGATTAAGGGCTTTGGGCTTTGATTACTTTTTTGCTAATGATAAGAGGGAACAAGGAGTATTCGAGACTCCCAGCTCTGCTGGTTTTCTTTCCAGCTGTTTTCTCTGTCCTTTAATTAAACCCTTAATTGACCTGGCAATTTTTGGCCAATCAGGGCTGTGGAATCATTTTTCAGGTGGTAAAGCTTTGCACCAATGTCGCAGTTATTCGACGGGTTTTCTTATAAATCTGTAACAGGAACCTCGTCAGCTCAAAACAGTTCAGAGTTCAGACTGCCAGGATCTTGGTTTCGATTAAGGACTGGATTAAACAATTTGGGATCTGAGCTAGAAATAAAGCCGGCAGACATAGGGGTGACCGGGACCACTTAGGCCATGCACTCCCCTCCCACCCTGACATAACATAACATCACTTTATTTGCCCTATACAATTTCTTGCATTAGGAATTCATCTTTTCGCACACCCCAGCTTGCTCTCCATGAGACACACAGACAGGGAGAAAAGCTGGGGGTCAGAGTGCAGGATCAGCCATTTATACAGCACCCCTGGAGCAGTTGGGGTGAAGGGCCTTGCTCAGGGGCCCAACAGAGTAGGATTCCTCTGCCGGCCACAGGATTTGAACCAGCAACCTTCCAGCCACAGGCGCAGATCCTTAGAGCCATAGAGCCTCCACTCCGCCAAGCAGGCATGACCTGGAAGTGAATCCGCAGGTCCAAGCAAGCGAAAAGCCACAGTGGGGCAGTGACCTTAATGATAATATTAGTATTAGTATTAGTATCAACGGGAGAGGCTAGTGGCGTTGTTTGTGTGTGTGTGTGCATGGGAGCAGAAGCCTTTATCGGTGTGCTGAGGCTCTGGTGCCCGAAAGCGTCCAGGGAGGCAGCAGATCGCAGCAGCCTTGAGGCTGTGCTCCGCGCTGGAACCCTCCCCCCGGCGCCTCACTCAGTCCTGGCCTTCAGCCAGGGGCGGTCCGCGTCTGCGGGGGAGCTCTCCTCCGGCCCCCCGCGCGCCGCCTCCGCCAGCCTGTGGAAGCGCCGCAGGAAGACGACGACGAGCACCAGCAGCACGGCCTGCAGCAGGACGAAGAGGAAGAGGCAGGCCTGCGTCAGCACGGCCAGGTCGCAGTACCAGTACTGGCAAGACGACAGGACCTCCTCCTCCGCCAGGTACATGACCAGCCGCCCCCGCAGGCCCGGGGGGGAGCTGCAGGTGACGTTCCTGTACAGCCCCCGGTGCTCCTGCCTGAGCAGCCAGGCGCGCAGGTACAGCAGGCCGCAGTCGCAGGCCCACGGGTTGCCGTGCAGGGACACCCCCTGCAGGACGGGCAGGCGGTCGAACAGCCCGGCGGGGATGGAGCTGAGGCGGTTGTCGTGGAGACGTATCCGCGTGGCGTCGCTGGGGAAGGCGGCGGGGAGGCCGTCGGTCCGCAGGTGGCGGCTGCTGCAGTCCACCGTCCCGCGCTGGCAGGTGCAGGGGGCCGGGCAGCCCTCCGTGACCAGCAGGGGGAGCAGGGCAGCAAGGAGCTGGAACAGCCTGGCACCGCCTTTCATTCTCCAGTCGAACCTGCGCCGGAGGTGGAGAGGTTTACACAAGGTGACAAACCAGAGGAGGCCATGTGGTTTCCTGAAAGAAACCAGGGCATGGGCTTCACCCACTTGACGGTGGACGGCTTGTTCCACACTCCCACAACCCTCTGTGTACAGAACTGGCTGCTGCTCTCAGTTTTAAAGACACTTGCACATAGTTTCCACTCTCAGCCTCTGGCTCGTCTTTCACT